TGATGTCAGCGTTGTAGTTGCTCCTCTTTTCTGAAATCTTTCTCATCGCAATGTTCTCCTTGCCCGGATTGTTGCACATAACGTAGTAGAAGATGTCCTTGCTTACGCCCATCTCCGCGAACTTGTCAAACATTGCTTCCCGGTGCTCAGCTCATGACGGGTAGAACCTCATCAGCCAGGCTGGGGCGGAGTTGGTTTGGTACGTGTAGGTTTCCAACGACTTTTTATGAAAAGCATAGCATGGGATCAGCATGAGGAAAAAATACAGAGATATATGTAAGAGAGCATTCGAGGCACCAAGCAGAAACTAACAAGACAACGGGTTAAGAGAAATGGGCTGAAACCTACCGCGAAAAATTGGCACTACTCAAGAGACGAGGGAACGACTACACAACCGTTGACAGCTCGTAGAAGCGCGTTGAGATCGTACGTGGGGTGCAATGCGGTCGACACCAGGGCTCTCTGCATGTCACCCGTATTCACCAGCTGATGGCGCAGAGCGAGCACGAGCTGAGTCTGCTCATCGTAGTATACGGATAATGTGGCGTACTCGGCCTCCTTTGCCTCGAGCGCCAATGTCAAGTCGAGACCACGCTCTTGCGTGGCGAGAAGAGTTGTATTCAGATCACCGATTTCCGAGCGCAGACGCATCATCTCTTGCGTACGTGCAGGCGCGATCTCTGGGTAAGAGGGTAAGACAATACAGATAAGAACAGTGGAAACACAAGTTAGTGTAAATAAAAAATAGTTGCAGGGTATAGGGGTGGTCGCACCCCATGATAACTTTGCTTGCGAAAAGCTGTGGAAAGTTGACAAAAAACGGAAACAGATATCATTACAACGATAAAACCGGTGAGGGGGCAACGGGTCTCGACGAGTTCACTATGCAGTTTATGAACGTATTAGGCTAAGGGAGAAAAGGCTTAACCAGTGCGTCCCTTAACAGGTACGGCCAAGCCGAGAGTGCTGATGACTGTCGGCAACATACTCTTAGGAGGAACGCCATCGACGGCGTTTTCTACTAGGTCAGTCAAATCGAGAGGGGGGGAGGTTTCTAGATCTGGAACAGGAAGAGTTGCAGTAGCTGCTGTATGGCTAGTCTGACCAACAGCTATCGAGGAGGAATTCGCCAGAACCGCAGTCATTTCCGCTTGCTTCTGTTTCTTGCGAAAGTTGGGTGGCAGGACAAACCCTTAGGCCTTTAAATATGTCGCCATCACCAGGTACTCGTCGAGTTGGTCGCATTCGTCGTCGCACGTCAGATCATGCACCAGTTGTGTGAGAGTACGACCCCATTATACTTCTTCTCATTTCCATCATTGTCCTCTATCTCATTATTCGTTTTATTTTGATCACATTGATCTTTTTTTATCTTTATCTCATCCCATTTGGTTTTCTATTCCTCATTTTTCACTACCCTTAGGGTTATCCTATTATTATAATTATATCACCAACCAGGCCCGGGATGTACTGGCACGCTATATCTAGCGTAATCCTGTCGTAACCCCTTAAAGCCAACAGCCTCGCGTGGCTATACGTAGGGTGATTCTATTTCTAGAAGGGTATATTCCCTTTGGATAGGATAAACCTGGTTACCTAATGTACCTTGGAAGTATAAAAGTGCCTTGTACCAATCGATAGTGCAACTTTTCCTCGACACATTCGATTATGTGACACTTGGTATTCAGAGCTTTTCTCACCCAGCCGCGCTCAGCTAAGCAGAAGCAGCAGGAAAACGTGCCTCAAAAAACCGCTGGGGGCGACTAATTCGGCGCCAATTTTGGTAAGCACCAGCTCCGCGTTTTTTTAATGAACCCCTTCCGCACGTGTTTTGAACAGGATGGCAAACTTCGACTACGTCGAGGTTACCCAGCAGCTCTTCGCGCACATAGCCGCCCTACAGAAGGAGATGCGAGCCGACCGCGAAGCTTGGCGAAACGAATTCGAGCGAATAACTCAACTCGCCAGCGCGCAGCACGAAACGACAACGACGACGACGCAACAATCGCAGCAGTTTCTTGAGGCTCCGAAGCCGCGCCCACCTAAGCCGTTCGATCCGAGCGATCGAAACTCCAACGCACGCAGATGGATCGCCGGAATGGAGATCTGCTTTGCAGCCGCCGAATGGAGCTCGCCAGTCTAGGACGGTCAGCGTGTGCGTCTTGCGACGACACTGATGCGAGGGCCGGCACTCGAGTGGATCGGCGGCAACAGTACCTTTATCCACGGCGAAGCCACGTGGCAGCAATTCCGCACTGACCTGCTGAAACGTTTCGAGCCGATAAACTCGAGTTTCCTTGCCCGGGAAAAAAATCATCGCCATCGACAGTTCGGGAGTGTAGCACAGTACACGCAGCAGATGGAGGAGTTTTATTACCGCATTCTCGATCTGACTGGAGGGTAAAAAGTACAATCGTATATCGCCGGGCTGAAGACCGAAGTCAAACGACAGGTAGCAGCGACAAATTAAGCGAGCTACAGTGACGTCGTATCGGCAGCAGAGCGGTTTGACATGGTCAACGCTGGAACACGACGGGCGCACGTCGGCAGTACGCGACAGGGCGACCGCTCGGCTCACACCACGTTCGCCGACTTGATGGAAATCGACAAGTTTGACGCGCGGCCATGTCTGAAAAACACCAACTACATGTGTGATTTCTGCGGTGTGCGAGGCCATCGAATCTTTGACTGCAACAAAACGAAAGCCGCACGAGCAGAATATCAAGTACGCAACAGTGGCGGAAATTCTTCGGCCAATCAGAAGACAAAAACCAGAACTCGCCTATGATTGCAGATCTAGCTGGTGAAAAAGAAAAGATCCGAAAGCGGCCGCGGGATTCCGGGAAAATCAAGTTCAACGAATCTGATTCGACGCGAGCAGGAGGAAATGATGGGGAAAATCTCCACCTCGCGACCAGTCTCCGCCAGGGAACATCGCCGAGAAAAAAATCTGACTCCACGAAAAAAGACTGTGCCGAGACGGGGGAACTCCGAGAAGACCCCAGAAATTATAAGGATTCGTTACAGTTATCTTACAAGGATGCTTTAATGAAAACTTACTATTCTCGAGTGGCCACAGCCTTAGAGAAATTTTGGGAGGGACTCCGAAAGAAGCAGAATTTTTTGGAGATCGTTCCGGTACAAAAGAAATTGGGGACAAAATTAAGGAGTGTGGAAAGAAGCCGATCTTTCCACGGAGTCAACATCCTCTCCCGTTACCAACCCACAACGACTACCCGTTCCCCAGGGAAGACGTCGGTGGAGCTGAAGCAGCTTAAGAGGAAGCTGATGGTCTACAAGATGCTGCAAAAACCCCGAACTCCTCCTTTGGATGCATCCAGCTCAGCAAATTCGGCATCAACGACACACACAGTTGTCAAGAAAACTCTGGGCCCTGGAGAAGAACCTTTCTCCAAGCAGCCTCGGCCAGCTGCCAGCTCAGGAGTAGATGGCAAAAAAAGATGTGTACGGAATATTGGGATGTACCCTATGACCCTATCAACAAGACTATCTTTGGATACTCCGAGCAACGCTTGCCCCTCGTGCTCGAGGTCATCTGTAAAGGACGACGCCTCCAAGCACTCGTGGACAGCAGAGCATCACACACCGTATGTGACAAAGCAACAATCGACCGACTTCGAGAAGAGTACAAGCCTTCAACATTCTCTGCAACTATGGTGGACGGTAGCAAGTTACCAGTATATTGCGAGGCAGTGTTACATCTACAAATCGGACCACTGTGTTGGAAACCTGCACTCCCCATCACCAACATAAAGGGCTTGACTTGATCTTCGCACGAGACTTCCTAAAAAGATTCAACCCCGAGATCAACTGGGTAAATCGTACCGCAAGCATCTACAACAATGGAAGGAGAGTCCAGCTACCCAACTGGGACGATACATGAGATATCCCAGTGGAGACACTCGCAAGATCCGAGAAGGACGTAAAGCGAACCGACATCGAGTTCCTAGCGATTGTGATAGAGGTGGAAAAAGACGGAGAGAAAGCCTCGGAACCTCCAGAAAAAATCAAGGAATTACTGAAGGAGTTCCAAGAAATTCTTCCCGACGAACTTCTGAACGAGCTGTCGCCATACCAAACGCACCAACATGAGATCGTGGAAGAACTAGGTTGGAAGCCGACCTTCCGAGCACCATATCGGCTCAGCCCTACAGAGCTAACCGACATGAAGAAACAAATCAAGTATCTCCTCGCCTAAGGACTTATCCAACCATCCACTTCGCCATACGTTGCCCCAGTACTCTTCGCACCGAAACTGGACAGAAGCTTGCGCATGTGCATAGATTACCGAACTCTCAACAAGCAGACCATAAAAAAATAATACCCGATTCCACGAATCCATAACCTGCTAGCCCAGCTTCGGGGAGCCACGGTTTTTTCCAAACAGGATTTGCGGTTCGGATAATGGCAGATACGAATGGCAGACAATTCCATCCATAAAACTGCCTTCCGATCTCGGTACAGGTCGTACGAGCATCTGGTAATGCCGTTCGGAATCACCAACGCATCGGCAACATTCCAAGTCGAAATGAACCACATTCTACGCCCACTCTTCGACGAATGCGTGGTGGTGTACCTGAACGACATCCTCATCTACTCGCGCGACATGCAGCAGCACATCTAACACCTGCGACACGTCTTCGACATTCTTCGACGAGAACGATTCTACACCAAGTTATCGAAGAGCAAATTCGCCCTCGAGAAAGTCCAATTCCTCAGACACATGGTGAGCGCTCAAGGAGTTCACATCGACCCCTAGAAGATCGAAGTCGTACGCATGTAGAAGACACCCGAGAACGTGAAGGAGTTGCAGCAGTTCCTAGGCTTCGCTAACTATTACGACAGGTTCGTGCCACAATACGTGAAAATCGCAACACTACTCATGAATCTGCTGAAGAAGAACATGCCCTATAAGTGGGAACCAAAACATCAGGAAGCCATGAAACAGCTGAAACAAGCACTCACGTCCGCCCGTACTCATCTTGCCAGACCCCGAACATGACTACGTCATCGAAGCTGACGCTAGCGTCAAGGCAGTGGGAGCAGTCTTGATGCAAGACCAGGGGAATAGACTGCAACCCATCGTCTACCTCAGCAAGAAACTACACGGGGCAGAACTAAACTACCGGATACACGACAAGGAGGCCCTTCCTATTATCATCGCCTTCAAAACGTGGAGATGTTATCTCAAAGGACGGAAAACAACCGTCTACACCGACCACTGCAGCCCTAAATATTTGAAGACACAACCAACCATCTCGAGGCGGCAGGTCCGGTGGATTGACTTCCTCGAGACACACTTCCACTATGACATCGTGAACAAGCCTGGCCACAAAAACAAAGCAGACGCTCTCACTCGGCCTACTCACGTTGCCGCAATCCAGGTTGAGGAATGAACCCACTACTCAAGGGACTCTTGACCCATGGGTACGCCATCGACCCCGAAATTCCTTCGGCAGAAAAGCAACACTTGTTATAGTGGGACAGTGGCATCGCGTACCGGAAGGGATCCACAAAAACCTGGGTACCCAGTTACCCTCCTTTACGAGAGTTACTACTCAAAGAATACCACGATGTCCTATACTTAGGTAGTAACAAGACACTCACCGGTACTACAAAACACTACTACTAGCCCGACATGGCTGATGACGTCCAGAAATTCGTCAACTCGTGTGCTACATGTCAACGGATGAAGAGCAGCAAGCAGAAAAAATGCAAGACTGCTACAGCATCTTCCTGTCCCAGAACAGTCATGGCAAGTGGTTAGCCTGGATTTCATAACCGGGTTACCAACTACCACCAGCGGTGATGACGCAACCCTCGTCGTCATCGACAAATTCTCCAAAATGGGACACTTCATCCCAACACACATGACATCACGCACCAAAGAGACAGCACAACTATTCGTTCGCTACATCATCTCGCAACATGGCATTCCAACCACACTCATCTCCGACCGAGACCCCAAGTTCACCAGCAAGTCTGGAAGGAACTGATGTCTCTGCTTGGGACCAAACTCGCCATGTCATCCGCATACCATCTGCAGACAGATGGACAGACCGAGCACCTCAACCAAATTGTAGAGCAACTCCTCTGCACAGCACGCAAAGACGAAATCTCTAAATTGCATCTGCTCGTCCTGGAGTTTGCCTACAACAACGCCACACACGCTGCTACTTGACAAACCTCGTTCTTCCTCTGCTACGGATGCCACCCGCTCACGCCAAAAAAACCGGCAGTATCTGCCACAGTCCAACCCGCACATGACTTCATAACGACCATGCACCAACTTTGGGATTGGACCCACGAGCGCCTACTCGACATTCAGTAGCAACGGAAGCGCCATGCCGATCGCCACCGCACTGACCACACCATTACCATGGGAGACCAGGTTCTCCTCGACACCCGCAATCTCGACATCGGTCATCTTCCATCCGAACTACGACCTCGCTTCTGCGGGCCCTTTCTCGTCGAAGCACAGGTCACTCCATTTTCTTCCGACGCAGGCCCTTTCTCACTATCTTTTGGGTTATCCTATTATGATGATTATATCATCGACCAGGCTCAGGATGTACTCGCACGCTATATCTAGCGTAATCCTGCCGTAATCCCTTAAATTCAATAGCCCCACATGGCTATACGCAGGGTGATTCTATTTCTAGAAGGGTCTATTCCCTTTGGATTGGATAAACTTGGTTACCTGATGTTGTTTGGAAGTATAAAAGTGCCTTGTACCAATCGATGGTGCAACTTTTCCTCGACACATTCGATCCTGTGACAAGTCGTCCTCCTGGCGCCAACTTGTCCACTTATGAATCTGAATATTGCCCATAAGTCTGCCGCATGAAGTACCTTCAATGCCCTCCATTCTGCAGGGGTTGCAATAATAATAAATAAATAAATATATATATATTTATATATAAACGCAGGCTATGAGAACTGGTCGTAAACTGAGGAGGTTTTTCCGCCTATTTGACGAATCGTGGGAAGGGCAACTCGAAAAAACACAAATGGTCGGCGGATCAAATGGGTGCACTCAACAATGTTGTGTTGGCACAGTTTCCAAAAGCGCCAGAGCTGCATTATGGAACCATCGAACTTGGCAAAACTCGAGTTTGGTAAGGGAAACAGGCACGACGGAGAAAGTGTCAGTAAGCGAACCAACAACCGATCTGCCTTGTGAAAAATTGGGAGACCCCGATAATTATGAGGGGTAACTAGAATGTATTTTCTGGAAATGCCAAATCCTCCACGCAATGGCCATCTGTCAGTCGGATGACAGGTGGCTGCCTAATCTGGCTAGCTGTGCACATTCTGCACACGTGGCAGATATCATTCGGCAAACCACAATCCTCCAATTTTGATAATTTGAATTCCGTGGACACGCTTTGCTTGGGTTGTACACCGAATTATACTTGGGTAGGGTTGATGTTATGCTAGGTAACTGTAGAACAAGCCACTAAACATCCATAGATTTGGAAAGGACTTATTGAAAAAAGCCACATGAATATTAGTGAACAATACTTCCTTCTAAATTAGTCAGCATGGTCAAAGATGTTTTGACTTAGAACCTAAACTTATTTACTAGCCATGGATCTACGTCCGGCTTAGTGCGCACAAGCTCTACTGCACAAAGAATACTAGACATTTTGACAACCCGGTATCTGTCTGCCAATGGAGCCCAGCGTAGTTGAATGCAGCCCATTTGCAGGTCATCAAAAGCTGCCCTCTGATAATATCTTATGAAGGCATATGGCATCAGATTCCGCCCCATACGCAGCTGGAATAATATGCGGCATTGGGCATACCACTCCACCGAGCCTTCGTCCGTCTCTCCCTTCACACCAAAATTGTTGTACCAAGGCCTCCCATAAAATTGGGCCATCGCACAAATGGTATGCGGAAGCCGACTGAATTCTGCGTCAACTGCAGCTGGTATTGCAACGCTGTTGTGCACCTGTAGGGATTTTGTGAGAGTTAAAATGATTCAATCAAAGGGGATATGTGTGAGAACTGCATGCCCTGGTAATACTGGTAGATGAAAAAAACAGAGTGGGGGGGAACGCAGAACGACGGGGAATGCAGATAGGCGTGGAATGCAGAAAACAGTGAGGGGCAAGGCAAAATTACTAGCATGGTTGCATATTTTTTTACTAGCGAGACTTACATGTACGGTGTCGATAGTTGTTCCCGCACATGCAGGGGCCACATTCAATGCCCGACGAAGGTGGGGCAGGTCTGCTACTAGCAACGCAATGAACTCAGCATCGCGTGCTGAGTCTGGAGTTAGCGGGACGACGAAGGGTGGCTCACGACGGCGTGCTAGGACGAGTAGGCGCCAACTATCTCTGGACAACACACGCTGTCCTGAGCATTGCACCTGCACATAACAAAATCACAGGTAGAATGCATGTTAGGTGTGATCAGTGCGAATAACGAGCATCCACTGAATCCGTGCAAACCACTTTGATAGGCACATCCTCACCTCAACCATCGAGGTGTCATAGGTCTTCCGTGGCCCCAGCACCAGTGCCAGGGACTCCAAGCGTAGCCTCTTGACCTCAGCATCCATAATGTGACTGGTAGCGCTGCTCTTGTTGGATGCGCGGTACGGGTTCTTAATGTGCTCTATGTGGAGGTGCTCGAACATCTGGGTGGAGTAGTGTTCTGGAAGCCCAGCTCTAGTGATGGAGTCAATGTAATGGCTTATTAGGTGCATTTTGATGAACCTCCAACTGGATGTCAGATCATTAAGAGCCTTGACCAAGCCCTCGATCATTCTGCATGGGGGTAGGGGGAGGGGGAGTGAGTCGAGTCAATAAGGGTTAAATCATGCACACCAGATGACATATGGTCTGACCGCTCCAACTCCAATGCTTACCATTCTGCCTTGTTCTTGAGCTCACGTAGCAAGTCTATGGTGTGCTCGCTCGTCCTTGCGCAATAGTTGTACCACTCAATGAAGGCCGTAATTGCATCAAGCTGCGCCTATGGAACACGCCGTGGGAAATCTTTCCCAAGGAAGGGAAAAACTTGTAGCACACTCCGATGCTCATAAGCTTGGTAGCTCGCACCTTTTGCAAAATACTCCCCACCCGGTAGGCGCATAAATGGATTATGATTGTTCTCCCGTGGGTACTTTAGCCTCTCGTTCGCTTCTATCCACTTAGTCATCGTTAGCTTTGCACGAGGTAGATCGAAAATGTGCACCATTTCCCCAAGTCAACTTGATGCATAATATTAGGCATGACACACAAATAGGGATTCAATATAGGTACCGACTCCCACTGCCAACCCCATAGAAAACATTTGATTGCATGGGTCGATTGCGTTGACATTCCCTGTGGAAGCATTTTCCGCTGCATTAGTGCAGTTATAGCTCTCTGGATTAGGGGCAACCGTGGGGAAATCCAGTTTTTAAACATATTGGTCTCCCTAAGCATAACCATGCATAACGAACAAGGGTGGTTCGTAGCGCCAAACTTTGTGCACGTCACGTTGCATGACTCAGGGTAGTCGCATGCATATGCGTACCGTGATGGCCAAGCATTATAGGATGCACCACTTGGGTCATCCACCCTCACTCCAGTGTGAGATGCTTTTCTCAATGGCTGATAAGATGTGTTGGAACACCACCAACTTGTCTAAAGCATCGTACTCAGGGGTGTAATTGGGTAGAAGGGCCAATAGAACATGACCCCTTGGCTGCCAACGATCATGCTTGTTGATGTTACCCAACGTGAGGTACACCGGGTGGCCTTTAGCCTTTCCTTGCTGATCCATGGTTGTTTCGTCACTCGATAGAATGAGTGCCGCCACAACACCCTCTCCATCAACCTTTTGGATCTCATTGTGCAACGTAAACCACAAATCTCCAGTCTCAGGAGTGGTGTACACATGAGTCCCACCAGGGATGCGAGCTGTGGGCTTTAGAACAAGCTTCTCCCCAACTTTTGGGTGGGTAAGAAGATCTTTCAATGCTATGATAGAGTCACAGAAGAAAAACTCGAGAGTGGATTTGTCACCAACGCGCACTTGGCTGCGTTTTCAATTACGGTACGATGGGGGTTTGGCACACGATCATCAATGTATTTCTCAACGTCTCGCACTGTTCGAAAGGCCGTAAGCTCGTCAATCCTCGCAACATCGTGGTTCAAAATGCGTAATAAAGTATCAATAGCTTTCTTAAACAACCTGTTGGTGAGGAGAAAATGCACAAAAGCATCTCGAAAGTTGAATTCAGGTGCGTCATCAACGGGTCCTGGCCCCTCCCCACTCTCCTCACCGCCCACGCCCACATCCACAGCAGGCTGTTCTCGCTCGTCGGGTAGGTCCACCTGAGTTTGGGGTGGAGGGATGTAAGACGGGGTTGGTGCTTCGGGGCGCCTTTGAGTCGTCGATTGGCACATGGCTGCTCAATCCTGGTTAGTTGGGATGGCAGATGTTTAGAAGCGGAGATGGCATGGATGCAGGGGCAGTGTGGGATACGAGAAAGGGAGAGGCCCTTGATGCTGCAGCAGCATCATTCGCTGTGTTTGTCCGACACCTGTCGCTGATTTGGTGATTGCGGAGCGGACCTCGCCCGCCAAACCGAGTGGCGCCACACCTAATGCAATCATATGGCAGCCTGCAAGTCACATGCATGTAAAGGTGGAGGGGCAGAGAGAGGGGGAATGTAGAGAGAGGGGGAATGCAGAGAGGAGGGGAGTGCAGAGAGGAGGGGTGTGCAGAGAGTAGGGGAATGCAGAGAGGAGGGGAATGTAGAGAGGAGGGGAATGCACAGAGGAGGGGAATGTAGAGAGGGGGAATGCAGAGAGGAGGGGAATGCAGAGAGAGGGGGAATGCAGAGAGGAGGGGAATGCAGAAAGGAGGGGAATGCAGAGAGAGGTGGAATGCAGAGAGGAGGGGAATGTAGAGAGGAGGGGAATGCAGAGAGGAGGGGAATGCAGAGAGGAGGGGAATGCAGAGAGGTTGAATGCAGAAAGAGGTTGAATGCAGAGAGAGGGGGAATGCAGAGTGAGATTGAATGCAGAGAGAGGGGGAATGCAGAGAGAGGGGGAATGCAGAGAGGGGGGAATGCAGAAAGAGGGGGAATGCGGTGAGGGTAGCGTTCTTGAATGCGAAACACATGCACCAAGAGGGGGGCAGGTAAGGGATGCAGAGACGTGGAAATGACAGGGGGGATGCGGCGGGGGACAGACGAATGCGGCATGAGCGTGTGCGACGGGTGGGGTGTGGCTGGGCTAGGCGTAATGCGTGTGTGCAGGAGGCGGCGCAACGGGGGCGCCTGGGTGAAAGCGAGGCGGGAGAATGCGAGGGGAAAAAAGGGCGGCGAAGAGAGGAAACCAGGATGGGTGTAGACCGTGTCAACGCGGGAAACCGGCAGGATTGCGGCAAGAATGTGGCGGGGATGCGGCGGGAATGCGGTGGGAAAGTGGTGGGAATGCGGCGGTAAAGCGGCGGGAATGCGGGAATGCGGCAGGATAGGGGATGGGCGTATTACGCGCAAAGAGCGGTTCCCGCGGGGAACACCAGCGGGGATCACCGGCTGCGGGAATGCGATGGCGGGAGTGTGGCGGGCCTGCAACGGCGGGAATGCGGCGCTTGCGAGTAAAGTGGTAAGGGGAGACGATCAGAAGTGGATCAGCCATGCGTTAATACTGTTGCAAGGGGCCGCCCTACAGTGGTAGAAGGTCATCGTCGACTCAGCGGCAACTCGCACAGAAGGACAGCACGAGTGGTTCGAAGAATTCGGCGACGAAGACGAGGCAGATTTGTTGTTTGGTGTGACCCACATTCGCACGAGGGCAATGTGGTGCGCAAAGCTTCACAAGCGGTTTGAGCATGCTCCTGACTCAGACAAGGCACGCGAAACTCTATGCATGTAGAAGCAGCTGGGATCTGTGTCCGAGTACACCGCGTCATTCTTGACATTGGTGGATACATGTGGCTACATGCACGAGTTGGAGAAGGTTGACAGGTACATGGGCGGCTTGAAGCCCAAAATACAGTACCAGATAACACTGCAACGCCCTGCGAAGTGGTTACAAGACTACATCCAGCTCTCCAAAGCCGCTGATTCGCTCCCGAAGCCGAGGATGAACTTTTACGATGGAGGTCGCCCTTGAGAACAGTACCAGCGTGCCACGATAAAAGGGGTGAACGCAGTGGTTATTTACGTAGTTGCTCTGCAAAATAGGGGGATATGCTACCACTGTGGCCGGCCGGGTCACATCCGACGCAACTGCCAAGAATTCATAGCCCTCCTGATTACTATGGGGAAGAAGCTGGAGGAGCGACCGGGAAATGAATCGCGTCAGTAAGTACCGGGGCCCTTACTGACGGGCAGGCTTCTTCGCCCGAGCCACACAGTCCCAACCGGGTCGTGATCCCGATTGCTACAATCGACCGGACCCGGACGAATAAGGGGGACGAAACTGCTGATCACCCTGTGTTGGTGGAGGATAAAGTCAACGGAGTGTTATTGAAGATTTTTGTTGATGGAGGTGCGAGTTACAGTCTCATACAGCTGGACAGGGCTAAAAAAATTGGGTTTACCCTTACTCAAGTGTCTACCTGAAATCGACGCCCAACTGGGGGACGGAACGGCGCTGGCTATACGGGAACAAGTGGTGAACGTCGATTCTACTTGTGGGGAGCATGTAAAATTTCGAATGGGACTGCTGGCGACTACTCCAGACAAGTGCGACGTGCTGCTGAGACGTGATTGGTTGCGACGGTACAACTTGAAGATTGACTGGACGACGGTACAACATCAAGCTCGAGGGGATTTCCCGCGAGCTGCCCAAATGGACGGGGCCTCGCAGGCGAAGCACCCAAGTCCATGCGATCAGTTTCAAGCACCTGATGAAGGCTGGAGCTATAGCATACGCCGTTGATCTTTGCAAGGTGACATCGATGGTCGAGACTGAAGATATTGAGAAGCTCTGCGAGGCCGTCTCTCCGGACTTAGCAGACCTGATTCGGAAATACCCCAAGATTTTCCCGGACGACCTGCCCACTGGACTCCCGACGAGCTGAACTGCGGACCATCGCATCGAGCTAGAACCAGGCGCCCAACCGATGGTACAACAACAATTTCGGCTCAGCCAACCGGAACTGGAGGAATTACAGCAGAATTTGGATTATCTTCTGACGAAATGTTTTATTCGGCCTAGCACATCTCTATAAGCTGCTCTGATACTATTCACGCAGTAGAAGGATGGAGGATTCAGAATGTGTATCGACTACCGCGCGCTCAACCGGATCACCATCAAGTCGCGTTACCTGATCCTGTGAGCCGACGAACTTCTCGACCAACTTCGCGGTGCCAAGTTTTTCTCGAAAATCAACTTACGAGGGGGTAACCATCAGATTCGCGTCGCTGCGGAAGATGATCACAAAACGGCATTCCGAAGCCGCTACGCCAGCAATGAGTACCCGGTGATGCCTTTTGGCCCCACGAACGCGCCCTCGACCTTCTAAATGACCATGAATGGAATTTTCAGGTAACTCTAGGACAAATGCGTCATCATCCACCTCGACAATATACTCATCTACAGCCGCAGTAGGGTGCAGCACTTACAGGATTTTGATGCAGTCTTCACGCTGCAGCACAAGAACCGCCTTATCACCAAAGTGTGACTTTCTTAAGCAGGAGTTTGAGTTTCTGGGCCACATCGTCTCTACTGAAGGAGTGAAAATCGACCCCAAGAAAATCAAGACTGCAGGAATGGAAGCCGATGAGCAACATCATGGAGCTGCAAAGTTTTTTGGGTTCCGTGAATTAAGTCCGCCGGTTTATACTCAATATGGCCGGGTTATCTGCCCCGCTAACTGACTGACTCAAAGATCACGATTGTTCTTGGTGGGGAGAGAAGCTGTAGACTGCATTCGACCAACTAAAGGTCGCGCTCACATCGCCGCCCATCCTTTGCATCTCCGATCATGACCGTCCATACGAAGTCATCACCGACGCTAGCGACATCGTCATCGGCGCAGTTGTTCTACAAAATTTTGGCGAAGGCCTACAGCCCGTCGCCTACAAATTACGGAAGCAGCAGGGCGCAGAGAAAAATTACACGGTATACGACAAGGAAATGTTGGCGATCGTCCACGCGTTCAAGACCTGGCGGTGCTACCTGACCGGCACTGACGTTATGGTGTGAAACGACCACAAATCCCTCCAGTACCTACGAGCACAGCTGAATCTCAACCCGCGATAAATCCGATGGCTCGATTTTCTCGAGTCAAACTTCCACTACACCATCACCTACAAACGGGGTGCCAAGAACATTGCTGATGCCCTGACCCGACCCACTGCCCATACAACTGCCATACTAGTTGCCCAGACCAGCCCACTCCTTACCGGACTATTTACGCACGGCCACAAGATCGACCCCTTCTTCCGCTCCGCCATTCACCAACAGCATACCACCGTTATCGGACACTATTTTAATAAGCGCGACACTTCCCGCATCTGGATTCCCGGCTACGATTTTCTTCGTACCATTCTAATCTAGGAATCTCATGACAACCCTACCTCCGGGCATTTCGAAGTCGACAAAGCCATGAAGACGTTGCAGGGTAATTATTACTGGCCGAACATGGTCGACGACATGCGCAAGTACGTGTCCTCCTGCACTGCCTGCCAGATCATGAAATCATCCCATCAGCGAGCAGCCAGACTCCTACAGCTGTTGGATCCGCCCGAGAGACCTTGACAACATGTCACGATGGACTACATGACACGAATGCCGGCCGGTCCCAGCGAAAATGACGCCATCCTCGTGGTCATTGACTGACTCACAAAAATGGCGCACTTCATCGCCTGCCAACAAAAAATTATAGCTGAGCAAACTGCCCAGCTGTTCATCGCCAACGTCATCAGACTGCACGGACTGCCCATCGCCATTATTTCAGACCGAGACCCGAAATTCACATCGAATTTTGGCGCCACATGTGGGACCAATTCGGCACCAAACTACAGTTTTCCTCTGCCTACCACCCACAGACCGACGGGCAGACTGAACGAGTCAACCAAACTATGGAGCAAATCATTTGGACTACCTATACTGACCCATAGACATGGGAGAAATGCCTTCTGCTACTGGAATTCACATATAATAACATGCCTTCCGCCACAACCCATCAGTCTCCATATTTCCTAAATTTCGGACAGGACCCCGTGGTACCCTCTACACCAAACATCGAGACACCCGTGCCCCGGTCCCAGCAATTTGCTGAATACATCCTCGCAGCCCGAGGAAAAGCACCTGAGGCAATTCAGAAAGCCAGCCTGGTCGCAAGCTGACAAGCCGATTGTCATCGACGTAACGCCACTTACAAAGTGGGAGATCTCGTACTATTCGACACTCGCAACTTGCGCTTGTCGATCCCGAGCAAACTCTGACCCCGCATCTGTGGCCCTTTCTAAATGACCAATATGGTGACACCTGTCACGGCTCACCTTCGACTACCGACTGATTGGCGTCACCACCCGGCTTTCCACGTCGGCCTCCTACGACCCTACGTCCCAAGTTCGTCAGATTTGGCACGTCAGCGCATCGTCCCGCAGCTAACGCCCCTGCAAGAACCGACGACCGAGCCTCTGAAGATTCTTGGCCATCGAGTCACAATGCAGCAGAACCGTAAAATGGTGGATTTTCTCATCAAATGGTGCGATCGAACGTCTGAGGATGATAGCTGGGTACCCCTCGCTGATATAGAATCACACCCGATTCTAGCAGCGTATTATCAGCGTCGAAATGTTTCCGATGCCCGTGGCCTCGTTTAGGAGGGGGGATAGTGTAAGGAATTTCCATTCCTTGCTGAGTCGTACGCTAACGCGTACACCTGAACTCCTCGACTCGTCACGTTTGGGCTCATTTGTCGGCCCAACCCTTTTCCGAGTCGTGTCGGGCACTGTCGACACATTGCCAAACCTACCCATGTTCCGAGGTTATCGCCCTAGCATGCCAACCCCTATATAACCTCGTGCCTTCATTGCAATAGCGACCTTGTATTCTCACGTTATAGTCCATTGACACTTCCTATATCATAATAGCCTGAGTATCAGAAACAACATCAGAGGAGGTTACTCAATCTCGCCTAAGGTCGTCGTCCTCCATGAAACTTGTGAACAAACGCAAGGTGTGGATTGTGAACGGGACAAACGAGGTTCCCTCGCTGTTTGCAAATTTTGCCAAACCACGTAGCTTGTGGATTCCCCCGCTTTTATTCGATGGTCGCGCGATGATGAAAGTGTGTGCGGCATGAAAGAATCTTTGACAAATGCATCCGAGTCACGTAGCGCGCCGCGATAAACCATCCAATAAATCCGCTGCCATCAAGCCGACACAAGCCCAACCGCCAACAAAAAACGGACTACCATGTAACGCTTTACAAACATGTAGTAATGCATAAAGGTATGGGCCTAAACAAACACAAGAGAGACAATCAGTTATGGTAAGAAGCAAAATTGGAAGCCAATTTCAATTAGATAACAATAACCAAAACATTGGAAAAAAGTGTGATGGACAGAGGACAAAAAAGTGTGAAGTTTAATAAGGTACTAATTGCAACGCAATCATAGTCGACTCGACAATGACGAGGATATAGGTCCAGACAGCCACACAACGGAAGAGAAACAAAGGGGAAACATTGCTGCACGATTTGCAAGGGCAGAGGTGCAATATCTAGTGCGAACAAGCCCCACGACAAACACCCCGAACCATGTTGAAACAGCCAAGCCTGGGACTGGGTCGAGCACGGAGAATTTTCCACGTACGCTGCCACACCTACCCAGAATCAATAGCACAGACCCTTCGAGGCCAAACCCACCCGTCAACACTCACGCAACCCTCTACCTTCTGTGCGAGGCAAATGCCCCGGGCTGTACCTGCCTGACTCGGGATTTTTCCGATGAAACGCGCATGCGGTCGCCGCATGTGCCGCGGAAGTGGAGCCCGCGAGGGAACTTCGCCAACTGATGGATTTAGAATGTTATCATGAGAGTTGCGGCTGTGATGGCTGTCGATGGGAGTGGACGGCCGTGAGAGATGCGAAGTGGCGGACATGAGGTGACTGCATTGCGCGTTATTACAAAAGAGTTAGATAAGAGGGAACCGGAGCATGAAGCCGAAAAATGGAGTGACGCGGTCAAATAAGTTCAACTAGGTCTGTGATTCGTGCTGGAGGAAGGGCGGGCATACAAATCCAGTTCATTAAGTTGGAACTCTGCCATGGACTGGAGCGCATGAGAAGGAAGCACTTGGTTGGGAGGAGTGCTGCTGATGGGAACGTAGGCTGTTGGTGAAAGCGCTTGTTTGGAAAGCAAAGGTGTTGCCCTCGTCCTCCGGCAGGACAACAAAACCCGAACTGGTCGAAAACCGAGGTGTTGCCTTATGAATTCGATCAATCTGCGAGCGCGTTTGAGATTTCAGATCGGAGTTACTGGACAATTCTGAAAACTTTCTGCGCGATTCATGAAGATCGTTCGCTATGGCCAATCCCCTACTGAAGCGTTTTATATACACCTAGCCCGCGGTATTTTAACACCCAGTATTTTCACAGGGGATATTGTCGAGAGGGTATTCAACCCCCGAAAGTTGCTCCTGAAGACCAGATCCATTTACCCTTGAAACGTTTACTGTTCGATTTAGTGTTTCTCGAGTCAGGAAACTCTACGTCAGCTTTGGCAGTGCTAAAAGTTTATTGTTCGCGTGGAGTCTACCGCGCTTAGGCCATAGGAACAAGGGAATAATGTGTACGCACTTAGAAATGGTAAGGGTGGAAACAAAAAATTATACTGCCGCCCAATTTCAGGGTGTAAAATTACCGCAGGCTAGGTGTACTGTATACGCAATCAACCTCTCTCAACCACATTTGGACGCGGTGTCATGATACGCGAGGATGATCATTCGAGGATTTCACAGAGCTCCACCCACACAGAAGCATTTGTATCCGTCCCAGAAAACGACTCGAATGCCCAAGAGGTAGAGCAGGAAAGCTTCGGCGTTTCAATCCATTCTCGTCACAGGAGTGATAACAGTACTGGATTCAGGTACAAGACTGTACGTAACCCCCTAGTGTCAAGCTATCTAACACGAAGCCCTGACTGTCTTGAGCCCATAAGAACTCCTTGCGTGTCAGGACCTGATTCGATGTAAGTTCAAGTCAAGAGTTACGACGCACGGCTGAACGCGCCCCCCCCATGCAAGGGGTGGGGAGCTAGCAGGCTTAAAGTTAGCTAGTTTGTTTGTTTTGTGACCGATGTTTACAAACCCAAGTCGAAATTCGCCAGGATTGCGTGTTCCAACCAGGGCCTATGCTAAGGACGTCGTGATAACTTTGCGTTCCGAATGCGTCGCCAGCTGTTAGGCCAGGCTAGCAAATAACGGAAATTTTCCGTGCCTTGGCTCGATGTTCTGGATTTATTTGTGATTTCACCACGTCCTAAGTTTTTGGGAGGGTCTGCTTCTCCCGAGTTCCGCTTCCCCCCCCCCCACCCCCACGCTATTTTATCCGAGTTGGGGGCTTGGTGAATTCGGTTTAATCTGGAATCAAGGATCGAGTTACTTTTGACAGAGTTTCTCCCCTGTACAATGTAATTTCGCACCGCTGACATGCTACGGCAATCTCATCTCGTTAGCCTTCGAGAGACTGCCTCGGCTGTAAGGGGTGAAGTGAGGTGACAGTGCAAGGGAGAGGGGTCGGGAGGTGGTCGGGGGGTAGGGAGGGAATTTCTCTGGCCCAAGCACACTTGCATATTTTCCAGAACCCCGGTGTACGTCACTCGTAAAAAAATCCAGAATGGACCTCGAAGAAACTCTGGAAAATTACCCTTGAACAATTAGGCCTGGTTCTAACATGCCAATGCCTATTTGCAATGGCATTCCCCTTCTGTTGATGAAGCCCCTCAGAAGAGGGATGATGACTCATTCCTGCATTGGCATGAAAGCCACTTGAGCACTATTCACGGACGGTACTCCAAAAAAGGAAGGATCGCACTGCACCGCAGACGTGGTTAGCTGATGACTGATGGGCCGACGGCTTGTCGGGGTGCCTGCAACATCAAGCGATAACGACGGACCGAAAGTATTTTGTGAAGTCGGGAGAGAGAGCGCTGTAGCTGTTGTCGGCTTGTTCGAAAGACTGGGCGTGTTCTGAAAAAAATCGTCGCTAAGGCAGACCTCATTTCATCTTTGAGAGATACGAATGACTGTGACATTCGAAGTGATACACCAACTCCCGCAATCTTCATCCCTAACCAGTCAATCTTTGCCAACACCCGCTTACGCCTCCAGGTACGCGGGGCAGCATTTGGATCAGAGAGTGTAATCGTGCAGCTGGGATACTGAAAATGGTCAGATAAGCGGGGGGTTATTGTTAGAAGGTTCGCATCACACAGTTGGTGCAGCCAAAGGTGCGAGGCGTAAATGCGGTCCAAGCAGGAGGCAGACGGAGCCGAGGACGGCCCGTTTCGGTAGACGTGGGAGACGAAGGAGAACGAAGGAAGTGAGGGGTAATGAATGCGTAAGGAGTCAATCAAAGAGTGTTTATTGAACAAGGAGTTGAGGGTAGATGCCTCCGAGATTTCATGAGCCACGAGGGGACGATTGCAATCCAAATTATCAAAAACTGCGTTGAAGTCACCAACGACTATGGTGCCATTGCATGCAGGTCTCACCGATAAGGCGGGGGCGAGCACAAAGGACCACCAAGTCTGTCTTTTGGTGGGGTGGGGGGACGGGTAGAGGGCGCTGAGGACGAGGTGAGATTGAAGGAAATTGAGCTGAAGTTTAAGCAGTCGCTTGTCAAGGAAGGTGTAGCGCCAGTAATGGATAAGCGTTTGTTGAAAATCAACACAGTAATGCCACCTGGCCGTACCCGCGAGCCAGAGACAGTGGGGGGGCTTTGGGCATATGCATTGGGTTTAAATTTATAGATGAGAGACAGAAAAGTAGTGGTGAGGCGAGTATCAACGAGAAGAAGGATATCCTGGGGGAGGTAAGCCGGGCTTTAAGTTGCTCCATTTTATCAGTTGTGCTCAACCAATTAATGTTGATACAGTTTATAGTCAATGGGATTAACATATTAACCAGACGTGGGCCCCAGTATGCCAAAGCATACTCATCCACGGGGCAAAATAACAAAAGAGTAGCCGGTATGCAATGTAAGTGAAGTAAGGGACAGAGGAGAGGCGGAGAATGTTCAAGCAAGGGGGGAGTATCTGTCTTGACAAGCTCAGGATGGGGCACAAGCAGGCTCGCTTCCAGCCGGCCCATCGAGAGGTGTGGATGTAGGGGGAGTGTGGCGTGGCTAGGGCTTTTCTGAAAGGCCACGGCAGGTGTGCAGTGCACGAAGTTCGTCCCTGGGAAAGGCGGGCAGTGCAGGCAGAAGAGACCAAAGTAGAGGAGAGGAGATAATGATAAGACTGGATAGTGCGACGAGAAAATGAGAAGTGGGGGCGTGGGCGAGGGCCACAGCAAACCCTGTAACCGAACTGGGAGCCAGAGCGGCAGTCCGAGGACCGAGGCCAGGCAGAAGAGGACGCTCGCCGTGTGAGAGGGAAGCAGCGCAAAGTCAGATAGTTCGCAGAAGAGGGAAAGAAAAGGGGAAAGGGAGGCACTTGCAGCCACAGATGTCGGGAGGGAGAGCGGAAGAGTAGAGCTGGCCGGAAAAGTACTTGCGACCAGATCTGCTTTGGGCAGGCGGAGGGTGAGAAGCCAAGCATAGAAGCAGTCGCGCGTAGATACGCAATGACACGCAGCTTACCTGAGGTAGATCGCAGGTGCGTCCGAGGTTGGCAAAAACGGAGGAAAAGCGGAGGCGTGGCGGGATGCAGCGAGCGGGAGAGGAAAAGCCAGCGAGTCCGAGGTGTGAAGCGGAAGAAGATTGGATCCCCGACACACATGCGAGAAAGCCACGCGACCAAGTTAGTCGGAGGGAAGATGGAGGTGGGAGGAAGAGAGGGAGGGAAGCATAGGCTAGGGCCACAGCATTCCGGAGAGGCTAACTGGGAGCCGGAGTGGCAACCCGAGTCAAAACGCCATGCGCGATCATAGGCAGGTGATAGCGAGGTCGCAGGAGACACTCGTGAGGGTAAAGGGAGGGGAGAGTGGAATCGTCATGCAACTGCAGTTATACAACAGATTTGTAGCAAAGAGACCATACTGTTTGAAGGACGGGAGAAAGACAGCAGATCGATGCAACAGAAATTGAGCTGCGCAAATCCAACTCAAGAAGCACACGGAAGCGAGGGATATAGTGCAACGTACCTGAGATTAGAGGGGGCTGTGTTGTATGCCCACGAGTACTCTCCCAGAGCTTGCAGCATGGTGCGGAAGCGCGGTACAGCGGGGGGAAACAGTTCAAGCCAGTCTTGGAAAAAAGAGTCGGGCGAAGGTTGTCGAGATGAGATCGATAACAGATGCATGCGGAGAGCCTGTAGCAAAGCCACGCAGGAAAGAACCAGAAACAAAAACCGCAAACCTGACTATGCACTGGAGGATGTTCAAGGAAGGGGAACCTGGAAAGACCATGAAGGGTTTGACAATCTAATAGGAGAGTATGCAGTAACAGTTCAAACACGGGCAGAGGCGGAGAGGAAGCCATGGCTCTCGGGCCTTGGGGGAGAGGTCAGCTTGCAAGAAGTGTTTTGACACCAGAAGAGTTTTGAAGGAACGCTAAGGGAGCGGCTTTTCACGGATCTGGGTCCTAGCAGTGCGATCCCCTCCTAGCAGCATGATCCCCTCCTAGCAGTAAGATCCCCTCCCTTGAAAATCATGCAAACACTTTGAAAATCACGCGAACTAACTTTCTTGCAATCCCCTCCTACTAGCGGCGCGATCCCCTCCCTCCCTCCTACTAGCGGCGCGATCCCTCCTAGCAACGTGAGTGGCTCCTAGCAGCGCGATCCCCTCCTAGCATGCGGCGAGATTGGCTCCTAGCAGCGCGATACCCCCTAGCAGCGCGATCCCCTCCTAGCAGCGTGATCCCCTCCTAGAAAGCGGCACGATTGGCTCCTAGCAGCACGATTGGCTCCTAGCAGCACGATCCCCTCCTAGCAGCGCGATCACCTTCTAGCAGCGCAATCCCCTACCAGCGGCGCGATTGGCTCCTAGCAGTGCGATCCATCCTAGCAACGCGATTGGCTCCTAGCAGCGCGATCCTCCTAGCAGCTCGGTGGGTTCCAAGCAGCGCGATCCCCTCTAGAGGCACGATCCCTTTGAGCAGTGCGATCCCCTCTAGCGGCGCGATTGGCTCCTAGCAGCGCGACGGGCTTCTAACATCGCGATCCCTCCTAGCAGCGTGATCCCTCCTAGCGGTGAATCTCATTCTAAAGAGCGGTTCCCGCCACAGCAGAGCCGCGACTCACACGGTTGCACGGGGGTCGAACACTCGCTGCTGCATCTCTCGTCGTGAGAAGCTGGACTTTTCCTGGTTTTTGCAGCCTGCGGTTCCGCGCCTCACCTCCCGGACAGCAGTGGGGGCTGCCAGGAGGCATGGAGGAAGAGCAGGACCCGGGGGACGCCTCTGTCTCGGATCACGGGGGGAGTGGCGGTGGGGAGAACGCGAGGACAGCCAGGATGGGGGAGGGCGAGGTACGCCTCCAGGTGCGTGGTCCCAAGCGAACTCGGGAGCAGGTTGGGGGGTCCCAGGAGCTCCGTCTTTGCTGAATTCGCCTGGAAGATGCCTTCTATCGGTGGACAGGGCCGGTCCCTCGTGGGTGGGCCCGGGGGGCCGCCCACGGCAGCACAACTCGGGCGCCCTGAGAGGGGGCGGCAAGAGCTGCCAGTGGGGGTTTCCCTGCGGGGGGTGTTGGGAACCCAGGGGGGTTCAAGGATGGGGGAGCGGTCGCAGCCGGGGGAGGGGAGCCAAGAGCAGGGAATGGGGTGACAGCTCGGGCTGCAGCGGGACAGGCAGCAGGGGCCACCGCAAAGCATGCCACAGGGGCCGTCCGACGGGACCTCCTCTGGGAGACCGACAGGGAGGCCACAGGAGCGGCCAGCGTATAGGCTGCTCGGGCTGTTGGCGACAGGACTGCGACCCATGGCGGCAGGGGGGCAGTGTGTGTTGCAGGCGGGCTGGGGGCACGTTCCGCCAATGCGTGGGCGGTCCGGGCAGCGGCCGGAGCGGCCGCCGGTGCTGCCCGTGGCGGGGCAGGAGGCGCTTCTGGGGGGGGGGGGACGGCGTGTGCTGCTGGGTGGGGGGCTGCCGGCGCTGCCAGCGGGAGGGCCGCCTGTGCCACTGGCGGGCGGGCAGGAGTTGCCATCGGTGGAGGGGGTGCAGGCGTTGTCGGCAGGGGGGCAGCATGCGGGAACGACTGGCGGACGGCATGGGCCATCGGTGGGAGGGCAGTTCGGGCCACCCGATGCAGCGCAGGACGTGCTGCTGGCCGGGGGGCAGCAGGTACCGTCAGCGAGGGGGGAGCCTGTGCCACCTGCAACAGCGCAGCGGGGACCGTTGGGCAGAGGATAGCGAATGTCGTCGGTGGGAGGGCAGCCTTTGCCCTCGGACGACAGGCGGCTTGGGCCATCGGCGGGCGGGCGGCACACATCATCGGCGGGCTGGCGGCAAGCACCATCAGCAGGAGGGTGGAAGGGACAACCGGCGGGGGGGTGGCAGAGGCTGTTGGCTGGCGGGCCACAAGCGACGGCGGCGGGAGGACAGCTAGCGCCATCTGCTGATGAGCGGCAGGCGCTCGAGGCGGATGGGCGGCGGGCACTGCTGGCCGGGGAGCAGCGGTGGCCGCTAGCGGGTGAGCAACAGGGGCGCACGGAGGGCAATTCAAGGGGGCAGCGTGGGCAGAGGACGGAAGGGCTGCGAGCGCCGAATGTAGGGGGGTGGCGGGAGCGTGGGGCGGGATGGGGGCGGGGGCATCGCCGGCGAGGGCGGCCGGCCCACGGGGAGGAGGTCCAGCAATTGGTGGGTTAGCCGCAGGAGTTGGCCACCGGCCAGAGGCAGGGAGGGGTGGTGGACGCCGTGGAGGACAATGCGCTCCTGCCTCACTCCACTCCAGGAGTCGGGGGAGGGGCGCTGCCTTTCGACTTCAACTCCCCTCCCCGATCCATGGACTTGGACTGCGGCTTCGGGGCTCTCGGTGCGGGCGTGGAGGGGGCCATCGGGGAAGTGGGGGTGGCGACAAGGGCTAGGGTGGACGACAAGGGCAGCGACGCGCCTGGTCCCGTGCCTTCTTCCATGGACGTTCAGCTAGAGGGGGTGATGGTCGAGGAGGCGCATGAGCCATCAGCGGGAGGGCAGTGCGGGCCACCCGCAGCAGCGCAGCTCGGGCCGATGGCCAGGGGGCAGCAAGTGCCGCCGGCGGGAGGGCGGCCTATGCCCACAACCGTTGGGGGGCCAAGGCCATTGGTGGGCAGGCGGCCCGCACCACGGGCGGGGGGGTGTGGGGCAGGCCTCTAGATAGGATTTCAGGTAGTCTTTCATGTAAGGGCAGTTCCCCTTGACCACTTTTTCTGTAAGGGTGTCTTTTTTTTTTTTTTTTTTCTAGTTTTGATTATAAGGGTTCAAATTTTTCATGCCTTTCCACATCGGGGTCTGAAAACGTCGTAGTCATTCCTCAACGCACAAACAATATTTGCCTAACAAAATTATATAATGCACGGCCTAGCTCTACAATTATGCAGAAGTCTTGCACGCTAAGCTACTACAATCTTGCCTCCATAACATTGTGGTGCTGCTACTGCCAGTGCCTATGTTGATGCTACTGCTGTTGATGCTGCTGCTGCTGCTGTTGATGCTGCTCCTGCTGATGCAACTGCTATTGCTCCTGCTGCTGCTGCTGCTGCTGGAGAGACTCGCCGCTCACGGCAATTTCAGTCGGTACTGTTGAACTGGTTGGCAAGGCGGCGGTCCTTGATAGAGTGGAAGATGTCAACCACCTTCAGCCACTCGATGTCGCACTGCACTAGGGCCGTTGTCATGAGGTCCGCAAGCCTCCCATCGCCCAAGCAGCTGCGCGTCCACGACGATGCGGTTTTGGTGACTGAAGCCCTGATCGCACTCAACCGTGCTGAGAGGAAGCACGGCGACCGCCTGACAAAGCCGCACCAGGTTGGGGTAGGATCTCTGGTAGTCGGTGCTATCCAGCATGAGCTTCAGCGACTTGTGGAAGGCGATGCTCGTGTGGTTGGTGTTCATGGTGTGCAGGAAATAATGCAGCTCTGACACGCACGTCTTGAAGTTGACCCCTAAGAGCGAGGTGGGGAAAGGGGGGAGGATTGGCGGGGGGAGGGGGGACAAGAACAGATTGGAGAGGGAAATTAGGTAGTGCATGCAAACTGGAATGGGGAACACCGACATGTTACAGCGGCCAGCACAAGTGGCATGCATTGTAGGGCCATCTCACCAAGGAGCTTAAAGTGGAATAGCTTATCAAGAAGGGACAACCACTTCCTGCACTTCTTCATCAGCGCAGCCCAGTCCTCGGGGTACAGCATTGGGCGGAACAGCTTGGCGTCATTGAGGTCCTGGAGGTCGTACAGTCGATTCTCCAGCTGTGCCTTTGCCTCAGCGGCATACTCCTTGCACAGATTCACGTAGGTGGGGAAGTCCCCTTTGCCCGTCTGGCTCTCCCATGGCTCCTCGCTTAGCATTGAGTTTTTGAGTCTTCCTTGTCCACGCCTTCGACCGTCACCTCTCGAAACTGGGGGCTGGCATGCTCCTTCAGGAACTTCAAGAGAGGTGACTCCATGCCAAACTGGTTCTCACACTTGACGTAACGAACTTCGATCTTTCTGCATGCTAGGGTAACCTCGCCAGCGACCAACGTGTTGTCCACTTGGGGTCGGACACAATGAAGGAAGAACAGGAATAAGTAATGGATGATCATAGAATGCAGGCACGGGGATCTTAACCATCAACTGACCTGCTGCTTCTAGAATTTGGTGTTCAGGTCGTTCAGGAGGTCTGAACGACCAACGTGTTGTCCACCTGGGGTCGTTCCAACAGATCTGCCAGGAAGAACACAAGGAAGTGGTATTGAAGTTGTTCACAACTTGTAGAGGTCGTGCTTGTACTCATGTAAGAGCACGGCCACCGCTGGCGGAAGTTGCATGAACCGCTTCACCGCGCTCCCCCGGGAAAGCCACCGCATGTCATAAATGCCCTGTAGTTCCAGATTGGTATCGCAAAGTTCTTCCTGCAGCTTCTTGAAGCGCCTGTGCCAGGTCCCGCTCCTTGGACAGCAACTCAGACACGGTCCTGATAACCTGGTCGCCGACAGTTTGCAGCCAAGGCCTCCAAGTACTTCTTTTGATGCACTCGCATCCACCACTTCTCCACATCTCGCTCAATGTGAAGCCCAAGGTAGTAGTTGACGTCACCAAGGGTCTTGCACTTGAACTTGTCTTAAACCTTCACCATCACATCCTTCACAAGGCCAGAGGAGGGTGAGAATATGAGGATGTCATCCACATAAACCACCATGAAGCTCCTCTGCTCCCCCTCGCCAAGCATGAACAAGGATTGATCGGCCGTTGAGGGAGTGAAGCCGATCGCCTCCAAGACTTCCCGCAGCTTGATGTACCATTGTCTAGGGGCTTGCTTGAGGCCATAGAGTGCTTTCTTCAGCTTCCACACTCTGTCACTCCCATCATTGTACCCCTCTGGCTGCTCCATGTAGGTCTTCTCCTCCAAAACACCGTTGAGGAAGGCCGTTACTATATCCATTTGCTTCACCACCCATCCTTTGATGGCCGCCACGGCGAAGAGGGTTCGAAGAGTTGTACCTTTCACCACAGGGGCATACACTTCATTGTAGTCCTTCTTCTCTTGCTGCTGATACCCCTTGGCTACAAGTCTGCTCTTGTAGCGCTCAATGTTGCCGTCGGCGTCGGTCTTGTGCTTCAAGAGCCCACTTGGAAGAGATCGCCTTCCGCCCCGGAGGTACGTTCACCCAAGTCAAAGGTGTCGTTCTCGATGATGCTCCCCATTTCTTCATCTGAGGCCTTCTTGCACTCCTTCCCATTGGGGCCCTCCCAAGCCTCCTTGGATTTTGTAGGCTCCCCCGGTATCTCCACCGGTGAGAAGAAGGCAAAGGCGCACTCCTCGCTTTCATCTTCCGCATCATCGCCTAGCATGAGAGCCGAACCAGTCAAGGTTGAGTTGGCTGGTCCTCCAAGCCGGTCATAGCTCAACCTTTTGGGGGGCTGAGTCTTCCTTCTCCCCCTTCCTTCCTCCTCTGGCTGCACAGACTTGGATGCTCTCATGGCGTTGCTGCAAATCTGGTCGGTTCCCGCGAGCACTTGTAGCAACGAGGCGGAAGTGACGGTGCACGCTCATCACCTTGCCTGCACCTCCTCCTCCTCTTCTCCCCCATTCATTTGAGGAGATTGCCTTGTGATAGTGCTGCTACTACTCAGCTCCAAGGGCAGCTCCACATGCTCCAAGCCGGTACTCTTCACCTCTCCAAGCCGCACACCAATCTTCGCTTGGTTCTCCGCCTTCCACTCCTTGTACGGTAAGTTCTCCATGAACTTGCAATCTCTGCTCACCAAGATCTTCTTGGTAAATGGGTCCCAAAGAAGCCATCCCTTGCTGTTTTGAGCCATGCCCAGATGCACGGCCCATGTTGCCTTGGCATCAAGCTTGTTGTGCCGTAGTTTCTTAGGCACAAGTGCCATGCACATGCACCCGAACACCCGAAGCATATCCACCTTCGGCTTCCTTCCAATCCACTCCACATAGGGCACCCATTTGTCTTCTCCCACGTGAGTCAAGGCTCTGTTCTTGGCCACACAAGCATGCCGCACCGCATCCGGCCAAAAGTAATTGGGTAGACCGGCTTCATGAGAAGTCCCCAAGCCGTCTCCGTGAGTGTCCGATTCGCACGCTCGGCGATGCCGTTCATTGCAGGAGAGTAGGGCATGGTAAGAGAGTGCCTTATGCCCTTCTTCTTCAGCCAAGTTGAGAAATCCTTGCTGAGGAACTCTCCCCCACGGTCAGTGCGAATTGCCTTCACAAGCCGGTCTTGTTGCCGCTCCACATCGCAACCAATCGGTCTTCACCGTTTCAGCTACATCAACTCTTCTTGGGCAGCACATACACCAGGTCATGCGAG